CATTTGGAGATTGTTTTCACACTGTGACTGAAGCGCTTCTGTCCATGACTTATGGGTGAATTGGGCTTCTCATCTGCTTCAGCCAACAAATACACCTGCAAAGAATGAGTCTGCTACTGTGGATGACACCAGCATTGGAACTACTAGTGACTGTTTTTGTTTCAAATGTTCAGCAGAACTTCATTTAATTACAAAGCTTTGCTTGTTTTAGTAGTTTGGTAATGGGTGCAGTTTCAGTGTGATTGTTTTGCCTTTATTTAAAATTACTTTTGTTTTAAATGTTTGACATTTGTGTTGAAAAACTGGCACATCCTTTCCTGAAACGAGACCCTGCCTCAGTAAAAGGATCCTGCATCGCAGGCATGAGGGCTGAATGTCTGCAGCTGCTTCAATGCTGCCCAAGGATTAAGTGTTGATGTTTGAGAGCAGCAGCCATAGGCCGGTAGAAAAAGTGGAACCTATTTAAACTCACTCAAGAAATACGTTTCACCATGGAAACTCACTTGGACTCAAATTCACTTAAATTTAGCTCAACAGAACTAATTGGGACTCGCTAAACATATTACTCAGTTCGGCACGCTCAGACTCGCGATTTGACCTGTGTCTGAGTGAGCGAACAGCTGTCACTAGTCGCAATTCAATAAGAATATTTTTATGAAATATGCAGCTCACATCAGAAATTTTGCCATGAATGTCCCATGAGCGAGTTTGTGAAGGGAGGTCTTGGCGGCCCCTTTATCTCCTAACTTGTGCCTCTGTGCAATAACCGCATGAATGGTTGTGTGTTGATGTATGCTTGAACAGACTTGATTAGCAATGTAAGCAAATATGACGTCGATAGTTATGCTGATAGGCGGGTATATAGGAACATATAGGTCAGAAATAAAATGTGGTGCTCACTAAGGCTCACCCAAGAAATACACGTTGAGCTTAGGGCTCACCACCTCAGACTTGCAAATATTTTCCTCACTTGGATTCAAGCTCATTAAAATTTTCCTTAGCCACACTCACTCTAACTCAAACTCATGTAATATTACTCAGCTGTACTCACTCAAACTCACGACTCGATCATAGTCCAAGTGAGCCTGGCCCCATTAACGTCCAACGTGCCATGCTCGAATCAGCCAATCGCTGATACAATGGCTGTAATGGGTAATTTTTGAGCTTGTAGCGCAATTTGTCGAGTGAAAGGAAAGCAATTTTAAGGTGAATTTGAACATTTATTGAGAAATTGTGGCCTTGTGCTGCGCAACAATATTTGGCTCACGTGTCTTCGGGAGTCTTGACTACTGATTGGCCGCGTTTTACGACCATATTCAATAAGAGTTGGAGTGCCCCTTAAACTTTGAAGAGGTTTAGCGGCAGTGCGAATTCTCTTGGATAGGTGCTTTCACAGCATAGCACTCTATGCTTCAGTGAAATTACCTTACAGGAGGTTATGTGCAGATCAATGTTAACTATTTGTTCATTGCAAATACTTCAAAATTTTCAATAATTTAAAATCAAGTCAAAGCGAGTTTCAATACAGTACTGTTCTTTCAAATATTCGAAGCATTTGAATATTTGCACAACCTGCTTTTTTTAGTTAATATATCTGTCTTTTTTGCTCTCTCTACGCAATTGGTTTCTCCCCTTGTTTTTTCTCTTTCTCCTCTTTCTAATGGTTCTCCCATCTTCTTTTTCACTCTCTCCTTTGCATCCTTCCTTGCCTTTGCCACCCCCTATACTATTTACTATTTAAGGCTATGATTTCTTTTGTCACCGTGCATAAATAGCTGAAGAGTTATTATGCTCAGCTTTCAATTCGCTGGTTCGAATATTGCCTCGGGTAAGCAAAAAAACCAAGAAGTATTCTTGTTTTCTTTTCTTCTGCTGCTAAGAAGTGGTTCATTGTAGATGGGACCCGTCTTCTAAAGCTGCACAGGTTCGGAGGTGCCAGTTAGCTTGCCAGTATCCATTCAAATGTTATGACTGGCAGTGCAAGGACCAAGTCTGCAATAGACACTCATTGGCGTACCAGCCAAATGTGGTACGCATCCAGCAGAAACGCAAGAGGTGTCTGGGTGTGCTGCAGGGAACACGCATCAGTGTTGCTGGGACAGACAGTTCATGTTTGAGGAGAGGCGCATGCACGGACCAAGGATATGAAAAGCGCGTCACGTGTGCACTCAGGGCTCTCTCTGTGGCCTTCGTTACGGCCAGTCCTGTCTCCTGTAAAAGCGCATCTCGACGCCTTGTGTTTTTTTACACCTGTAAATATGTAAATAAATTGTGTGTTTCTGTCGTCAAGAAGCCTCTCAAAGGTGTCTTCTTCCCCGGCACCTGGGTGAAAGCCTGTGCCCCTAACCTCGGTCACATCAAGGCGTACTTCCCAAAAGTATCGCTGTGGTATGTATTGTGTGCTCACAATTGACAACAATGAAGGCATGGCTAAACTTGTTCCTGGTTTATCAACAGCCTTCTTGCAATATGTGCCTGTTTCAAATAGATGAGGACTAGGTTTTCTTTTTTTTTCAAGTCCTAATTTGTTCGAGATAAAACTACAGCGAATTCAAGACGCTCATGTTTGGAAGATTTAAGTAGACTTTCCAGCTGCCCCTTTGCATAGTTGCCACTGCAATTAAGGCATCTGTTTTGGCCCTGTAGCAGCTTTTTTTATGCCCCCCCCCTCCCCCCCACACATTAACGACAACCAAGTCAATTCTGTAGGCCACTCACTGTCTGTAGATTGTTGTCTACACAACCTGCTTCAATATTTTTATACTGTTTTCACACTTTGCAGCCACCAGGGTTGCCACCTTTTCTCAAACAAAAAACAGGCCCTTCAATGAGGGAAAGAGGGAGGGCCGAGGATACCTGGAGATTAATGTCCAACAATAGACACAATGTCAGATCTTTGGCATACAGTGCCATTTGAAAATAATATTGCTTTCCTTGAGTCAAACAAACCTGATATAAACGCAAAAATGGCTCACTGAGCTAACCTACTAGTCTAATTGCTGGCATAAAATATCCATGGTTAGAATAATGCTTCATTTCCATCACCTAAAAAAGAAAAGTTGGGCGACCCTTAAGGTTCGCTTTCAAGAATTGAACACGATAATGATACCCTGGCCCTAGTGCATACTTCAAGCGCTTGGTGCATGAAATCTTTTCGAACTTGGTATGCACTCACTATGTGGTCTGAAGGAAATGTGTGCAGCAAAATGTATGCGTTTTGTTATGGCTGGCCACCTTTTAACTATGAAGTCCTTAGGATAATCACATGTTCTGATGCCTGATTACAATGCACACAAGAAATATTACTGTGATATTACATATTGAATTGTGAAGGCAGTATACAGGACACATGTGTTTGCAAAGCCTAACGCTATTTTCACTGCATTTTCAAGCAGATGAAGTTATTTTCCTTAATTTCCAAGCAGATGTGTGGCTGTGCGGTAGAACGCCTGCTTGCCATGCGAACGGCCTGGGCTTCATCCTCCCGCAAACTGAGAAATTTTTTATTACTTATTTTATTTTCATCTTTCTTGATTTTTCCAGTTGCTCACAAGGTTCATCACTCACAATCAACGATGCCCAACGAGATTTTTTAAAACCATCGCGTTAAAACTGGCAAACAAAATGGTAACAATGTATGACTGATTGAATAAGCTTTTACAGCTTATGCCAAATCACATTGGTGGATGTTGAAATCCCTAGGTCCATTGTTAGACTACCAAATGTCATGGCTTTCACTTTTATGTTGTGTTAGGGGTACAGCAATTAACTGGCAGGAAGTGTAAATAGATCTTTCTTTATTTGGAAACAATGCAGAAGTATGATAAAGTCAAGCTCCCTTTCCTTGAGTAATTTGAGTGTATATGTATTTTGAAATGGTGTTTGAAAATCACCAGCAGCTTTGTGCCTTACTTCACGCTTCGTGGCAAAAGCTTAGTATCGAGTTCTGGAGAAGTTCTGCACGTTGCCTGCTGCCAGCTCAGACACTCGTTAATCTGGCTTAAACTTATATAGTACTATATATATTGTATTCTCACTTTCAATTTTGCTTATTATGCAATTTAACTTACCCTTCGTGAATTCATCGATATTTTTCACATATTAACAGAAATTTGCAGAACTTCATGCCTAAAAATAGTGTGACACAATCTTCACTAAACTATGGCCATCAATTTATGAGAAAAAAGTGGGAGGCATGTGGCTCATCGACCCATGAAGCATCTTTGAATAAATGGGGCAACACATGTCACATTGTCTCATAAGGGCACTAAGCTGTAATTCTGCTGCCAAATTTCTTGCCCAAAAAGGCCCAATGGAAGCAGTACAGAGGAACACTTCTAAAACTGTGGGAGAAAAATTGCAGTGAACCTTAATTTCAGATTTTCTACGCAATTCTGCGCCTCTGCCTGTGGCATTGAGTCTAGCGGCTCTGTCCCAAGGTCTTCACATACACGTGCCCTTTCAGCTTGTGTCTGTCTTGTCGGTAGGTGGCGATAATATTGAAACTCGTCGAAAACAAGGAGAAAACAGCAGGCATAGGTGAGTGCACGTATTCATATGAAAATAAAGAAAAAGGAGAATATTGATTTCATTCACATTTAACGAAGCTGTGTCTATGCATGTCTTGCCTTGTATCTGCAATGGATAAGGGCGAACATCTCAGTTAAGCCTGCATTTTCGCAAATAATTAAAATTGTGGTAATGAATCATGGCAAGCCACTTCGACGTGGTGTCAATGCACTGAATGCTGTAAGTGTGTTAACAAATGCTGCATCATATTCGTGAACTCTATTCAGGTGTGACATATTTGCTTTTCTCATATATCTTGCATGATTTGATGATCTTGAATATTTGTGTTCTCTTTGGCTTCCTGGCTGTATGAAGCAGCAATTTTGCCATATTTTTCCTTTGGCCCGAAATTTTAGCAACAGTGTCTTAGCCCCAGCTTTTGGTCTCATTGCCTCTCCTCATAATAATAAAAAATATCAAAGAATGTGCTGTTTTGTGACATCCATCAAACATGAAAAAACAGTTATGCATGTATGCTATGTTGTTAGGCTATGCAAGAAACTGCTTCATTTTTCATTGGAGTGCACTTCCACAATGATTTTAGGTAGATATAATTTTTGCAATTTGGAAAGAAAATCTATAGTTGCACCCTAAAATTCTCTAAAAAATCTGAACAGAAGAATACCATAAATTTGAAACTTTAGCTACCTGGTATGCAATATGACACCGGCTGAAAAAAAAATATTAACAGAATAAAAGATTTTAAACTCAACGTATCACTGATATCATGCATTGGAAATGTGCAATATATAGTTTCTAAGTTTCCTTAATGTTTCTGATACACCACAGCTGGAAGGCATTGTGCTGATGGAAACGTAAAGTGGCACAGAAAGTTTTACTGAGGAAAAAGCGGGACGCATTCATTTTATTAACCATCAAAAGGTTAAGAAATTGATGCTCAGCAGTGGAGCTTCCTCCACAGCAACAAAAAACCTGCATTGAACCACAGTGCATGCACACACCATCTCTCCAGCACTTCTGTCATGCACTCTGTCATGGCAGAATTTGGTACCAATGCAGTGAATGGCTGTAGGCCACTGTTTGCAACATGTGTTGCATATAAGACTCCATCAGCAACAACGTTTGGGTGAGAAACTGTTTCATTGCCTTTTTGTGTTGCCAATGCGTGATTAGACATTCTGAATTACGAGCTTTCCAGTGACATAAAAGAAATGTACATTAAAAAATTGGTTGGCCGTAGGAAATAATCAGGCCCTCGAAATCCACAGAACCATTAGGAAAGGTAAGTATTCATTGGTACAAGCACATTCCTGGAGCTGAGTAGCCAGCTGCGCTACACAACTTCTCAAGTCTTTTCTTTTAATGTGCCAGGGCGGATTCTGCGTATCATACTGTTGCACAAGTTCTCTTTTATTTTGGTGTACTTAACATTTTAAAACATTAGTAAACTTTTAAAACATATACAGTTTTGCAAATCATGGCTGTTGAATCGAACACAACAAAATTAAATTTGGAGTGTTAAATCACTTAATATTCTACAGATCGAATCACACTTGTCTAAAACACCCAGCCGACCGCTCCAGTTGCTGTTTTCTTGCAGAAATATGTTAATGCGACGCCGTATGAATATCTAACATGGCATACGGCGTGCTAGGCCTTTGTGCGATAATTTAAGCGTGAACAGAAGCATGTAGCTAAAGTGACATAGAAGCCGTCACTAACAAGAGCCATGCGCTCCACTGCTCTGGACAAGTGTGATTCCACCTGTACAGCTGCAGTATTGGCCTTTTTTTGGTGCATGAAATTCTACATGTTCACTTTTCATCTCGTCTATTATATAAAAACATAAAAATAAAAAGAATAACAAATAAATCCTTCTAGGTCTGAGTGAGAATAGAAGCCAAGCTGCTTGTGTGGCAAGCAGGCATTCTACCACAAAGCCACGTGCCTGCTCAAAAATAATTTTCATGCTTTACAAATACACGCGTCTAGTATACACGCTTCACAATACAACATGTAATATCGCAGTATTTCATGGTACAAATGTGCATTGCCACTGGCCATCAGAACGTGTGATTATCATAATGACTTCGTTGTTTAAAGTAGCCACGAAAAACAAAAGGCACAAATGCTACAGGAGTATTCTCTTAGGACCATGTACTGGGTGCTATCAAGTTTAAAAACATTTCATGCACATAGTTGCTCGTGGTTTAAAGCATACTACCCAGTACCTGTGTTGCGTGGTCTATCCTGTGTCCCATCTCTGCGCTCTTCGAAGTAACTATGTGTACGTATCAACAAGCTCGCTTAGCCACCATTAGAAATCCATTACGCAGACTGCAACTATATGCAAAACCCTTACTAGCACAAGCCACTTTAAACATTGATTACGTAGTAATAATCTGCAGTATAAGCTTTTCAAGTATGTTACCCTGCAAAAGATTGCACTAGGGTTGGAGTATGCACTAGAGATAGGATATCACTGTTGTGTTTTACTCAAACCTTGAGGGTCCCCTAATTTTTTTCACCAAACAATTGTAAGATTCATAGATAGTAATGTTCCACAAGCGTGATATTGTAAGTAATCACCCTTTTGGCCTATACTGGAAGAGTGGAGGGGGTGCTGTTAGGAGTGAATTTACAGGCTGTTAAGAGTGTATGGACAAATTTGACAGATTGTTGTGTAAGTATGCAAGCATTAGGGCATGTCAGTTCAGATTAAATAGCTGACAAAGATCACAGGCAGGGGTCCTGATAGGACT